ATAAGGATAAATCACTGGAGGAGGAACCGTAAGAGCAAAGAGCCTTCCCCTCCTGAGCGACCGTCAGCACCAGCACTGGTGCGCGGCGTGGCGTGCATCTGGGGGCTTCCTGCGCCCCGGCATTAGATGAGCCACAAAGAGGAAAAGCTCTCCGGGCAGCCTGTTAAGGACTATGACTCCATGAAATGCACCCTCCTTTTCAACTAGATCATAATACAAAGAACACAATCACCTTCACCTGAAGCTAAGGGAGAGGCATGTAACTCAGGGCACAGAAGAAATTTCTGGGGCCCAGGGAGAGAATCGGCCTTCTGTGGTTTCATGAAACTAACCCATTATTTTCTGCCACGGAGGTTTTACTCATCAGGGCTGGTGGTGCCAAAACCGCTCGCTCCAGCCCCAGGCAGCGCTGGACGTGAGCATGGGCTCCTTGATTTCTGTCACTCGCAGGGGCTGTGGCTTTAGTGCGCACAGCTGAGCATCGTGCTTAGCAGGACTCCATCTCCAGGGACTCTACCCCCTGCGTTTGAAGTCCTCCCTGCTCCCCCTCTGCCTTTAATAGGCTTAAATAAAACGGCCCTGGGTGTCTGACTTCAGTGATTTCTGTCATCAACCATTCAGACATTTTCCTCATTTCTCACCCTCATTGTGTGATCTCTCAGCCTTGTACAATTCTTGGCCAATGGCCATATTAATTTTCTACTTGAAAGAACACAAATAGAATACTGCTTATGACGAAGGTAGTGGGGCGCTTGGGGAGTAGCTGCTCGTCTTGGTGCATACCAATTAGCTTGGCAAACAGGAACAGTAACATGATTAGATCGGATACCTAGCCAGAATTGCCAAAAGTGGCATTAGGTGGCTTTTTAAATAGTGGCTATCAACAGTTACATTTGCCCTTTTGGAAACGGAACGGGCATTGTGACACAGAGATCTCCAGTTTCCATGGTGATTATTAGTGACAGCATCTCAAATGTTGTGGTTAGGTTCCGTGGTACAATCGCTTGCACTTTACCCCATAAGAGAGGGAGGACAAACAGCTTCATCTTATTATTTTTAAAGAAAAGAATGCTAATTATCCCAGAGGATAAACACCCTGGCGTGTAAGTAAATATGATTGTTAATCTTAAACAGATTTGTGGTGACAGAAGCTACATAAGTTGGTAAGAGATACTGAAGCACTTGGACTCAATAGGGACTAATTAATAGCTTAGATACTTAGCAGGAATTAATAGCCTACACATTATTTTACAAGCTGGTTTGCTCATTTTTACATGCAGAAAAAGAGTATTTTCTTACACTGAAGCAAATTAATCCTGAATTGAGAAACAGGCTAGGTGGGGGGAAAAACGTATCTTCCAGTGCAGTTCGAGATGGCCTCCAGGCGAACACTTGTTAGTCCCACATGCACACCCTCCTGCCACCCACAGGGCGGTGCCTTGGGCTCCCATCGGCCTGCTCAGCCCTAGTCCCCTGCACACAGGACATGCTGAGAACACTAGGTGACTCTGATGGTGGGTGGTGATGCTAAGCATTTCACTTTTTGCTCTAATTTTTACATCTAGAGTTGCTTAACTGTAAAACACATAATTTACATGTAAGATAATTCCATGTATTTCAACAATACAGAATGAATAAATGTAAGCCTCTAAGAAAATGCTTCATTGGAATCTGATAGGTATTTTAAATTTTCTCATAAAGATGTAAAAGTAATCTCAAAAAAGATATATCAGCTCTAAAATATACAGTATATATAGCTCTAAGTATACTGAGGTAACAGATAATCAATTTATAATTAATCAATTTATAATCAATTTATAATTAATCTAAGTATACTGAGGTAACAGATAATCAATTTGTTTAATAAAGAAAAACAGAATACATGCAGTCTTTCTGACAAGTGATTTAAATCAGATCTACTGTGTAGTTAATATTGTTAGAGGGAGAATCAAGGATTGTAAATCCAGCTAATGGAAAAAATGTGCAGGTAAGATGAAGGGAAGTCATAATGGATCAGAATGTAATTAAAAAAATTCTACTTATGTGCACTGCTCTGACAGTCGGAGTAACCCGAGTGATAAATGACCTCTCTCTCCCTCAAGCCACTCAGCTGGCAGGACCGAATACATAGGCCACATTGTGTGACTTACACAAAAACTACAGACCAGAACAAGGACAGATTTACAAACCGAGGACAAGGTCACAGAACCACCAGGTGAGACTCAAGCTAATGCACATCCACAAGGCATGGACTCTATTAAATGTCCACCCTAAAATGAGACTGGGGTCAGTCACGGATGAAATTAAAGGGTCTCTTAACATGGCTTCTGGAGAGAAACAAGTTCAAATGCAATCAGAAAAACACAAAGAAGAAAGGGGCAGAATTCTGGAGTGCTAGAACTGTGAAAGATTACCCAATACACTTGTTTTTGGTAAAGAAATACAGGCCCGCCGAGAACAAGCAAACCACCTAAGATCCCAGGGAGGGCTACTGTCACAGCAGGAGTGCAATCTGCACCCCCCACCCCCAGGGTCTCTTGCTCGTCCATCTAGGAAAGAACAACCAATCAGTGTGAAGATACACCAGGACTCTCACAAAGAGATTTTAATTCTGTCAACTTAGAATAAGTTGAAAAAAAAAAAAAAAAAGCACACACACCCTCTTGTACGCCAACCAGGAAGACTGGATGAAAATGAACGAACTTGAAAGGATAAGAACAATGGAAAAAACACGCTACAGTCAACACTTTGAATCTGCTCTCCTGGAGTCTAAATAATGGACATCTCAGATATCTGATGCAGAAACTGAATAGGTCAGGGACATATTGCTAAATTAGAGAAATAAAACGCATCATACATTGAGCAAATATTTTTGGTTTTCTCATTTGCACGGTGAGCAGATCTTGATTCAAACAAGAAGGTGGGGTGCTCGGCGGTCTCCCTGCAGCGAGCAGCGGTGGGGCTTACAGACCATGGTGCTAGAAGGTGACACGTCTGTCCCCCAGAGAAGCTGCCTGAGCTCCAGAAGTCGCTGCAGGGCTGACCCTGGAGGAATGCTCTGGCCACAGGAACAGCCAATAGAAACCCAGGAGCCCTGCTGGACCAGCTAACAAGGAGACAAGTTCTCTCATCATTTTGAGCAAATCTCCTCTTGCTTTACAATGTCTACAAGCAGGCCATCTGAAATCAGGCTATTATTTAAGATAATGATAAAAAGTGAGAAAGAAAAGAAGTTCTAAAAAATCTCCTGCTCCTAAAAAGCAGAACTGAGGCTCTTTGCAGTAACTGGATGTGGCCTCGGGCAAGTCAGGGGCTCTGCGTTATAAAGAGACCAATGTCAAAAAGGCAAATGAAACTGCAGAAGCTCTTCACTTTTAAAGTTGCCTCAGTTCCCACTGACAACAGAAACTCACGTGCGTGGTCTAAGAGATGGGCGTGGAGGCACTGCCAGGGTCACATGTGCAGCCTCCCCTTAGTGATCTGGGAAAGAATTCTAAACCTTCCCACTTAAAAAGCAGTCTGAAGCCAATCAGCGCAGGTCTCCCCAGGAGGCAGTTAGCAATGTGGGCGCTCAGGCCCCACCCCGGACCTAAGCAGGTGAAATCTGCCTCTGAAAGAACCTCTGGACACCTAAGCACGTTCCAGCTTAAGAAGAGCGATACTGAAAACGCTGGACTGCTCTCTGGCAAGAGTGTGCCCTGATGTTTCAGGGATCACAACCCTCCAAGATGCAGGTGCAGAATGAGTTCTGGGTGCTCTGGTCAGCCACAGGTTACAGTCCAGAGGTTGATGTTTTTCATGACCGATCTCAGTACTGCCAGGTGAGCCTCAGCCAGTTCCCTCTGCTATAGTGAGATTAAAACAGAGGGAAACACACAAAGCCAGCCCATGTTAAGAAATGCTTTATTACTGCCTGGCTAATGCCAAATGCCAGAGCCAGACTAAATGACTAAGTGAGCCTGGGCCGTTACATTTTCATAATTATAATCATTACAACCCGGGCAAGAGTACTGATTTATTGATTGGCAACAACTTACTGATTTTTTTAATTCTCATTTCAGTTTTCATTTTCAGAAAAGGTTATAAAAAAACAATCTGCCTTCAGAAATGCAGTAGTCTCAGGAGAAAACAAACAGCAAAGGGAACTTAGATCTGATCACTGTTTTGCCACGTCAGTTTCTTAGTGGGAATAGATAGCATTTTTGCATGGATGCAATTTACTAAAGGACAGAAGAAAAGGGTATACAGCAGAGCCTTGAATCACAGCATATCATCAATGTACCTTCATTATCTATGCAGATTATATGTCGAAGAGTTAAAAAGACAATCCTGGCCAAAGTGGAATGCGCGGCTGTCACCTGAAGGACCGGCCTTTATGATGCATCGTTTTGCTTCAAGTTGGTTTCCAACAACCTCTCACTGTGATAGGAAGGCTATTCCACTCATGCCAGACTTTCCTGCTCATGCGTGGTCCTCAACTATCTGATGTTCTGATGAGGAATGAAGACGCTTGCCAACAAGGGAAAGCTAGTCCTCAGCAACTAAGGGAGAACAAGATTCAAGCAGCAAGTAACTCTGCCTTTAAACATCTTGCTTGGACCAGCAAGGGAGGTTCTACTTTAAATCTCTGAACAACAGTATCAATTATCTCCACACTGGTTTACATTTTTCCTGGCTCAGTATCATCAAATTCCACTTTCCCACAGAGAGCAATTGGGCACAAAGCACCAAGGGGTCAACCATGATGACGAGTGTGACAGTGGGAAGGTGGGACAGAGGATGGGCCTGCCGCGCAGACATGGGGTGCTGGGAAAGCACCACCCCTCCCCCCTGCTCCGGGACTGCCTGCAGGGCAGGTCTGAGCACAGGCCCGCTGATTCCGCCCTGTCTACGCTTGGACAGTATCATCATAAAGAGGCACAAAAGCAGGGGAGACTGTTTCCACTGCGGTACCAAGTTAGAAATGTGACTGCATCATGGAATCTGCCCTCCCCAGTTACCTGAGATAACAGCAATTTTCCCAGATCCATGTTCATCTCTCGCTATCCTTTCTGCTTCTTCCATCAGCAGCATGCCAAATCCCTGCAAGGAGCAACGGGGAGGTGAAGAGGAAGTCACTCAGAGGGGCCCATGAAACAAGGCGGCTGCTATTTAGTAATGGTTAAGACTCAGTGAAATCAACATGCCACTCATGGGCATGCGGAAAAGAGAAGCCGGCCCACCGGACTGGAGTAAACTGCAGCAGACCAAGGGGAAAAGGAGCAACTTTGCAACAAAGGCTATGAGAGGTGCCTGCGGCTGGCACGCTCTGGTCACAGCCAGGGGGAGGTGCTCTCACTTCCTCCTCTTACACAAGTTCTAGGAGTCCCAGATTATAGAAAGGTGGCATATCTGATCTCTAATTTTTTTTTTAAGATTTATTTATTTATACAAGAACTGGGGTACAGGCCAGATGCGTGGGAGGGTGAGAGGATTCACCAGAGACAGAGTGGGGAGCAGAACAGGCAGACGGACTGAAAACACTGCTGAGGGGAGCAGCGGGCGAGACAGGAGAGGTCTGCCGTGCCATGTGAGTATCTCCACGGCCAGCGGGGATGGAACCGGCACTGCAGAGGTGCAGAAAGCTTCACAGCGCTGCACTCAACCACCCGCGCCACCAGGGAGGCCCTAATCTCTAATCTGGGATCTATCAGTCACCCCTTCAATTTCTAAAAGGCTTTGAAACCAGGCAATATTTCCAAATCACCGATTCTATAAGGTGTCCACTATCCACCATTAGTGGCTTTAACCCATTTCCCCTGAAATTTAAAAATGTGAGATATTTAACTAGGTTAGGGGGGTGTGCTGGGATAGCGCTCTGGCATATATGAGACAGCTTGCATTTGTGAAGTGCTGGAATATTTCCTAAATTTCACATCATCATCTCCTCTGAGTCCTTAAGAGTTGAGTCATGTGAAATTGCCAGCTTAACCATTTCTGACTTTCAAAACTGCAACTTTTTGGTTTAGTCTAGTATCATATTCCTCTCGCATCTAAGGTGTGTCTTCCCTGTCCCCTCATGCCCAAAAAGGTGCAACTTAGAGAGAAAACCTCTCTGAGCAACTAAAATACTGGCTCCTTTGCGTCGAAGCTTTCCTGTTCCTCTCCTCTGGTCCCCCTCCCCAGCCTTGTCCTCCTTCGGCAATTTCTTAATCACACGTCACGAGAGCGGGGACACAGGATACCTGATGCTGGAACTTAGTAGGGTCACGGCTGCTCACAGGGACGACACTTCCGTACACATGCAGCTCCCGGACGATGGACACGCCTCCCACCAACTCAAAGCGGAAAGTTTCCTCTGAACACTTCCGCAGCCGCAGGAGGCCGATCAAAATGTCCTGATCCGGGTCTTCATAGGACAAGAACGTCTCCCAGCCGCCATTCGCGACATAATCTCTCCTCACCAACTCTACCTATTTAATAAAAACCACCAAAGAAAAATTTTAATGACAGAACAAAGTTGACTTTTAAAATTATGTGTATGTAATTGGGCTAACAGCCACAATTAGGGATAAAGAATGAATCATCAAGAATTTGGAATTTTTTTAACTTGTCTTCTCTCAAAAATCACTGATTGAGAGTTCGCGCCTTCTTCATGGACTGTAGTAAAACAATTTTACAATTTCAAAAATATCAGAACTTCATTAACCTTCAGATTCTTACAGAGATATGGCTAAGTAAATACTTTCAATATATTTAAATCTTTGATCCTCTGCGAAGTCCCTAAATATGACAAATTATGTCCTATCTGTAGCGCCTGGGAGCACTGCTGAGCTCCAGAACTGTCAAGTGTTCAATGATGTCATTTCCCAGTCCTTAGCTCATCCTCTAAAACCTGCCTTTGGGGAGAAAAATGCTTTTGGTCATTTGTTCCTTGAAGAGATTTTGACAAAATATGGCTTTCCACAGAACCTTTAAAACATTTTATCCAGTAGTGGGATAAAAATAGAGAAATTCAGTCAGTGGAGAGTAGCTTTTCTGGGGGAAGCTTTTGTGGTATTAATCTACACAGGCTTTTGACTCTTCAGCTCATCATTCAGAGTGTCCCTATAGTTTGCATGAATTCACACAACATGTAACATGCAGACACACGGAAACTATAGACGTGGGCATGGTCACATCTATACCGGCCACAGACAGGCAGGTTGAGCCCACAGTGAGGCAAACAATTTGGACTAATACTTGCATTCCTTCTGGACTCAATGTTTACCAAATGACTGGATAGCACAAGAATCTGGGGCCTCTCTGGTGGCGCAGCGGTTGAGCGCTGGGTTGCAAAGTTGCCTGCAGCCTCTGCAGCACCAGTTCGATCCCTGGCCGCTGGGCGAGGATCCCACATGGCGTGCAGACCTCTCCTGCCGCCCGCTGCAACCCTCAGCAGTGCACTTTGTCAATCTGCCTGCTCTGCTCCCCGCTCTGGCTCTGGTGAATTCTCTCACCCTCCCGTGCTTCTGACTGTGCCCAGTGCTTATATAAATAAATAAATCTCTTTTTTTTTTTTTTTAAAGTACAAAACGATTAACTGTGCTTGGATCTAGTTTTTCCCCGAAAAGATCCCAAAGGCAAAAAAAAGTCAAATAAATCATCCATTTTGGAATAGGAATATCAATGCAGTATCATCTACTCTAATCTTTTTGAAGTGGGACTCCACAGGGGCACTACACTGCACAGAGCTCTGACGCGCAGCCAGGCAGGGTAGGTGTGCGGGAGGATGGTTCACTCGTTATGAACGTGGATGCTTCCAGGCATTTGCAAGTCTCGAGGAACTGCTGCTGGAGGGAGTTGGCTGAAGAGATGCACACCCAGCTCAGCCTGAAAGTAGCCATTAGTCACATGCGGCTACTTATATTTGAGTGGAATAAACAGGTTGAAAGTCCTGTTCCTTGATGGCCCTGGTCACCTCTCAAGCACTCCAGCGTGATACATCACCAGTAGCTGGTACTTCACTGGGTGGGGCGGATTCCAGAACACTCACAGAGCTGCAGAACACTGGACAGTACTGATCCAAATGGAGTGCAGATCACCTCACATCTGGCTTTTCTGGCTGGACATCTGTATGTGACCCCCACTTACTCTTTGCTCCTCTCCATTAATTTCTAGAGTTTGGTCCTACTATTAAGAAGGTGGGGGTCTAGGTTTGACAAAGATCTAAGAACAGGACCCAACTGCTCTATAAAATGAAGATACTAACCTGGTATGGCCGTACTTTGTGGTGAATTTCTTGGATTCCAACCTCCCTGGTTCTCACATCACGACACTGCAGCAGAGGAAAAGGTGGGGAGGAAGACAGATATAAAACCCTGGCTTAAATTAAGATCAGACATAACAGTGAGATAAAGAACTGAACTTAAAAATGAAATCATTTTTAATAAACCTAACAGAGAAAGGAGAATGTAAATGTATGAACTTAGCATAGTATTGTTTTTAAAATAAGCTCAGAATTCAAAGGAGATAAATACATAAAAATTATCTCGGAGGTAAAGAACATAAACCATAAAATCTGGATCTAGCTTTATACTTAGGGGTTATAACTATTTTGGAAACTGCAATCCAAAACTATGTATACATAAGAGCAAATCCCTATGTATACATAAGAGCAAATCCTTGATTTTTCAGAACCTTCACCATTTTATGGCAATTAACATTTTTAGCATCACCATATTTGTATCATTTTATAAACGTTGAAGAGACAGATGTTGAAGGCTGCTTTTTTAAAAAAAAATTATTTATGCATACAAGAACTGGGGTACAGGCCAGTGATATGGGGGGTTGAGAGGATTTACCAGAGACAGAGTGGGGAGCAGAACAGGCAGATTGACTGAAAGACACTGTTGAAGGGAGCAGTGGGCGAGTCAGGAGAGGTCTGCTGCACCGTATGGGTAGCACTCTGGCAGGGGATCAAACTTGTGCTGTAGTGGCTGGGGATAGCTTCATAGGTTGTATCTTAACCCCTTGCACAACCAGGGAGGCCCCTGCTTTTTTTTTTTTTTTTTAAAGATTGATTTATTTATGCATATAAAAACTGGGGTAGAGGCCAGAGGTGCAGGGGGTGAGAGGATTCACCAGAGACAGAGTGGGGAACAGAACAGGCAGATTGAAATACACGGCTGAGGGGAGCAGCTGGCAGACAGGAGAGGTCTGCCGCACCATGTGGGTTGCTCCCTGGCTGGCTGGGGATCACACTCTTGCTACAGAGGCTGCGGACAGCTTCACAGTGCTGTGCTTAACCCCCTGCACCACCAGGGAAGCCCGAAGACTGCTTATTTTTGCAGAGAATGGGACTGTGGAGGAAGGGACGGGAGAAGGGGAGTGAAAGGATGGAGGGAAGCAGTAAGAGAGGCGGGGAAGAAAGCTATTTATCACATAATCTGAACCCCAATCACAAGTGTCCTGAGAGTCCCAGGAGGCACAAAGCTGCCAGCAAGTGAGGTGGCCGAGAGCTGATCTGCACCGCCAAGCACATGTGCTGTGATTCTCACCTCTGCTCATGACCTGCGTGCACACTCCCCAGCCTGGCGTTAACAACCCAAGGCTGTGTCCTATGGTGACCCTGCTGAACTCTAAACATTTCTTTCAGTATTCTAACACTTTCCACCAGTAAGGAAAGATTGCCCTAGGAAATTCCACGGTGTAATGCAATCTAGTTTACTAATAATACATTTATGAAGGCCTGTCATGTATGTACAGCAGTCCTTTAGGAGGAAAAAAACGTTTATTATTCAGTTTTAGAAAACAAAGCTACTTCCTTCCATGACCCAGAAACAGGACTAACATAACAAAGTTCCGCTGATGTGGATGTTACAAACTCAAAAGCTGTACACCAAACATGGATCATAAATAGCTGTAATTACAAATCTATTATATTTAGATACTGTCTTAACTTCCGCAGTTCTATATCGCGTCTTGCACGTGAATGTCCTGGTTATATGTTCTTAATGAATCCTCGTGAGCTGATTTTTCCTTTTTGTTTGGGGGATGCCTTCTTAATAGAGACGGACGGGCGCTGCTTTTCTGGCAAAGACCCTGCCTCTGGGTGCACACTGTCTCGGGGTTATGACTGTCTTCCAGCTGCTGTGAGAGGCTCTCACGAAGGGTACAGGGCCAGAGTCGGCAGCTGGCTGACGAGGTGACAGGATAACCAGGCGAAACCAACAGTGGCCAGTCTCAGAGGAGAGAGGAGTTGGGGGACAGGGAGAGCTGGAGACTGGAAGCAGAGCAGGCACAGAGGCTAAGTTTAATACTGAAAATATCTTTGCTGTTCCCTTTACTTCAGTAGAATAAGTCAAGAACAGCCACAACTCTCTTTTGGAAACCTACTTAAGAATTTTCTCTGCAATAATCTGAGCACAGAATGCCTTGGTCAGTCCACACATGATGCTCAGAACAATTCCACTCAAGGCCGGGTGTGCCCTGTGCCTGACCCAGTGGGGCTGAGTCTCTGCAGGTGGAGAGAAGAAGTCAGTGTCCAGCTCTAAGAAGAAATTTCTAGGCACAAGTGTCAAACCTCATTGTGATTTAAGAATCATTTGCAGAGACTGTAAGATTGTAGATTCCGGGGCTTTCTGTATTTCCAGGGCCAGCAGAGAGGAGGTGCCTAAATATTTGTGAGAGAACAGACATGGGGTGGATGGGGACCTGGGGACAGGTCTATGCAGACAGTAGCATGGTTTTGTAACTATTTCTTGCAGGTAATTCTTGTTTCTTCAAATGTCACCACCTCACATTCTTCCATAACCACTAGTCAAGACTCAAACTCGGTACTTCAAGAGAAAACATGTTTTTCAAAAAGGGAGGTAGGAATACATTTGGTAATCTGAGTAGGCAGGAGAAACCACCATCAAGTAGATGAACCTACACTTTCTGGTGAGAAAGCGGAGGGGGTGAGGGGAAGGAGGCAGCCTTTACACCCCTGGCTTCAACTTCACAACCTAATACAGAAGTCGGGTCTTCACTCTATGAACATTTTTTGACTGAACTGCCAAGTCTGCCAGTGGGACAGAAGCCAAGTGTTTTGTTTCACATCATCAGTCACGGTCAAGTGCTTACCTGTATGCCAAGGTCTTTCATTCTTGTGAACGCCAGCTCTCTCAGATTACCATGTTCTACTCCTGAGGTGACTAAGGGCATTGGAATATCTCTGCAGGAGAAAGGGTGGTAAAATATAAGTCACTCTCCACAGGTAATGATATTAAAAAACAACAACAAAACCCTACAAAGCAGACCAGAGAGAGCAGAGGCTGAATATATATTCTAACCATGCCCCCACCCCCATCTTCCCATCTATGAAATGATTTTCACCTAACACTAGGGAGAAACCTAACACTACTGCGAGAAACACCCAAGTGAAAAATCACTTTATATGATATGATCATAAAGTACAAGACAAATGTCCAATAGCCACCAGTAATGCGTTTTGGCTGAAGAAACACCTATAGTAAATATATATATTTTTTTTTTTACAAAATCCAATTTTTTAAAAAAGACTTATTTATGCATACAAGAACTGACTGGGGTGTAGGTCAGAGGTGTGGGGTGTGAGAGGATTCACCAGAGACAGAGTGGGGAGCAGAACAGGCAGATCTACTGAAACACACTGCTGAGGGGAGCAGGAGGCGAGACACTGCTGCTCCCCGTGGGTCAGCTCCCTGGCCAGGGATCGATCTCATGCTGCAGTGGCTGGTGATAGCTTGATAGTGCTGAGGCTTTAGCCTCTGCACCACAGGGGAGGCCTCACAAAATCCAATTTGTTTCCAGTGGAGAAATAAGTCACCATTAGTGACCCGTTCCATAGCTGCTCAATGACTAGTAACCAGGAAAATCACAACCTGGCTCACCAAGAAACAATCTCAGAGAAAATATTCCCTGTTTTCCAAAAACGTACACCTGAAGTAATTCTGCAACAGAAGAACAGCTTGCCCAAAGAAGAGAGAAGAGCTTTATTTCCTGGCATGACGTATTCAGTGTAAAGTGCTGGCCTCAGGGACAGCTCCAACAAAGGCTGCCATCACAAGTTCCATGTTCACGGCTCCCCACCTTCTTCGAGACAAAAACCAGTCTCTGAAGACGTCAGAAAGAACACCTGAGTAGGAAAATGAGCAGCACGCCTGCTTTCTAGTCGAGGACAAGCCCCCGATCTGTCTGGCCTGTGATCTGGCTCATCAGACAACCACGGACTAGGCCGGTTAGCACTGCTGCTCCTTTTTGCTTCGGAATCAACTTAGTTTTCTTCCTTTCCACTCACCCCTCCACTGCCAGGGAGACAAACAGCCTCTTCACCCGCTTGGTTCTTATGAATCCTCACTCACTCAGAAGTGTCAAAAGCCACTCCAGCAGCAGGCTTCATGAAGACATTGTACAAGCCAACACTCTTTAGGACCGTGACACCAGGAAGCGCAAAGTGAGAAAGATAGGGGAGAGACATTTTGGAGTGATTAAATTAGCTTTGTCTCTTTGGAACGATAATTTATTTAAACGTTTTTAAAATTAGTAACCAGATGAAACTGAATGAAGGCTCTTATAGCCAAAAAATACGGTTTATTTTAGCAAGGAATGGGCAAATATGTTTTAAATAATTGACTGTTTAAACATATTACATAAGCCAGAGAAAGTCTTTTTCATGCCCTAATACCCTGAAATATTTTGTAAGCAACTAAAAAATATATGTATAAATAATCTCACAAGTTAAAATTTAAAAGTGTTTTATATATGACGTTAATCTGATAAAATTACGGGCAAGCACGTGGTGTCACTGCCTCTGTATTGAGTCCACGGCTAAGATACGCATGTGCACAAACGTTCACATACACTTCACCTGAACATACACTTGTAACTATTTCTACACATAAATTTAAAAACCTGTGAGGAGTCCATCCTGAATTACGATTCCAGTCCGGCGCCTCCTGTTCTCACCCTTGCATCTTTCAGGGTTCAAGAGTGAGAAAGTGCTCTCACCTTCAGTGTGTTTACCATGTGCTCCTCACTGAGCTCCCGACTACTCTAGCTGTCCGCCCCTCTCCTCTTCATTTCTTCGGATGCCTGCCCCACTGCTAGCAACGCTCCTGTGGCGTGGTCTCCACAGGCAATGAAAGGGCAGAGGGGGAGGAGGGAAAGGAAGAAGAGCTCTGCAAAAATGTTCAGTAATGAAATGGACCTTTGGAAAAACTAAAATTTATTTATTATTTTTTGAAGATTTTATTTATTGGGCCTCTCCTGGTGGTGCAGGCGGTTGAGCGCCGCGCTGTGAAGCTGTCTGCAGCCTCTGCAGTGCCGGCCGGCTGGCGAGGATCCCACATGGTGCAGCAGACCTCTCCTGTCGCGCCCACTGCTCCCCTCAGCAGTGTACTTCGTCAGTCTGCCTGTTCTGTTCCCCGCTCTGGCTCTGTTGAATCCTCTCACCCTCCCGCGCATCTGGCCTGTACCCTGGTTCTTGTATAAATAAACAAATCTTAAAAAAAGATTTTATTTATACAAGAGCTGGGGTACAGGCCAGAGGTGCAGGAGGGTGAGAGGATTCACCAGAGACAGAGTGGGGAACAGAACAGGCAGGCTGACTGAAATACACTGCTGAGGGAGCAGCTGGTGAGACAGGAGAGGCCTGCTGCACCATGTGGGTATCGCCCTGGCTGACCGAGAATTGAACCCATGCTGCAGAGGCTGCAGACAGCTTCACAGTGCTGCACTCAAGCTGCACCACCGGGGAGGCCCAAGACTAAAATTTTCAAAAGAAGTAAATTCAAAGGACTAGGCTTACATAGTGATGTTAAACAGAACTGGGTGGTAGAAAGACAAATACTAGCAGGGCTAATAATTTGTAGGGTCCAGAGCAAAATGAGAACAGGGGGACACTTGTTTAAGACTCAACAGTTTCAAAATTGTGACAGCAGAGCCCACACAGGTCACGTGTCCCGGAAGCACCATTCAGCGAAGGGCTATAACTCTGGGCCTGCCGAGGGTGCTGACACACAGCGCTGTCCTGGAGGCTACGTCTGTCATGACGAAGATGCGGCTCAGCTTTCTGGTCTTTGGTGGGCGCACACCTAGACTTCTTCTGCCTTAGGGAACAGAAACGTGGCGACTGCTCAATGGTCATCTTTTTCACAGACAGCGAAGGGAGATGCGTACCCAGCGGGGCGCGTGTGTGTGCAGAGCAGCATGCTGGGCAGCCGGGCCCTGAACAGACACGGTTGCAGGCCACCAGGAGCTCAGACTTGGGTGAAGTGACTGACCATCCCGACTGGCTCCTTTCATCCAAGAGGGTGCTGAAATTAATTCTAGCTGTGTCAACTTCAACCTAGCTTCACATTCTTGGTGTGAAGGGAGATTACATTCAAGAGCCTCTCCTTTTCTCTTTCAGGGGGTAAACATTTCAAGCTTAGAAGTGTTAATATTTGCAATTTGCTCATCAAAAATCTTTCAAAATGATATCCACGGCCATTTTTGTCTGACGTTTCACGCTTCAGAAACATTTTGGCTGCAAATTGCTATTCCTCGTCAATGCTTCCCGGTGACTTCAGTGGCTCACCCAGGCAGACAACGGGCAAGCAGCGGGCAGGCAGCAGTTTAATGGGGCTCCACATGTGTCCAGGCATCCTAGAGATGCTGCACCCTCCGGGCCGCCACCCAGAATCCTGATAAGCCAGACTTTCTGATAAGCCAGACTTGCCAATGTCATAAAATTACCAGTGTAAATTAGTTAAGAAAAAGGCTGGTGGGGTGGGGAGGAGGGCCAAGTAAAAATATCAAGTAATCAATCAGGAAAACACAGTTTTTAAAAAGGCAAATGGAAAACTCTGCTTCACTTGAACTATCTTCCCTCCTCCTTTCTCCTGTTTTGTCCTCCCTCCTGACACACCTGAAAAGAGACCCCAGAAATCTTGTCCATGGTGAGTTCAGGTTCACTGGTCACCGCTGAGTATACTGCCTACGACTGGGAGAAGCTGACACGAGGGAACCTACACAGATAAGCCAGGTTTTCTAAAGTCATGCATTTCCTTTACTGTGATTTAGAACACTAAACGTGATTATCATCTGGATTAAACACTACGGGAGGAGGCTTTACTCCGTCATCAATGGTTTCTTTCTAGCCAGACAACAGGCTGCTTCCAAATTAAACACTGAGGGTGCTTAACTGCACCCTCCTGCTCTTAGATTGCTATTAGTTTACAATATTCTCAGATAGCTCTAGGACTTTCAGACTGAAGCCAGAAGAAACACTGCAGAGGTAAAACCCTGCAGTTCTCTTTTCCCTAATCAGGAGGTCCTCAGACTTGACACTTCTAACACCCAGCTCTCTCCTGCACACACCTGTAGATGGCCCTTAGGTTACACATTAACGCTGTCCCCTTCAAAACTGGACCATTGAGCTCTTGATACAAATATGTTTCATTCTAGAAGTCAACATAAGCCAGACTCCTGCCATGTCTGGGTAGAACTATAAAACACTGGGAAAGGAACCGAAAGTTCTTAGGCAAAGACAGGAAGCCATTTGACCAGGACACACCTGTTGAGCTGTATTAAACGGCGAGCGTACTACATGAACCTGGGCACAGCCTTTTGGTTTCCTAGTTGTCTTATTCGTCCAGGAGAGGGGAGGTCATTCGACAGACCTCTGAGACAGGTAAAGTTTATGAAGTTTTTTTGAGACAGCTCAATAAAATCACACATCTCCCTTATGACCCAAATCAGTGATAACAAAAAGGAAGTCAAGATGAAATAAATCTGAATCATTTCCTACACTGTATATACAGACAAAACATGCAAACAAGATGGAAAAAAGGCAAGTAGTAAAATTTAGTCAGGTTGACTGAATTCCTACACAGGTAGCCAGGGTAATAATAGTTCAGCAATACTCGGTGGGAAACACTGAAGTGTGGCGCCCTTGCTTACAGAGAGACAGAAGTTCTACTGACATTAGCTCATAGTTAGCCACATTGAAAAACAAATTCTAAAGGAGCTCTTCGGCAACATCATGGCTATGTAAAACACATAAAAATAAAACTAATGGAATATACCATGCAGGTTTTAATCTTTACACTAAAAAAACAAAAAACAAACCAAGCCCCCTCCCCCAAAACGACCTCATTCAAAGCCAAGTAGCTTATGCGCCCAGACAGACCGTCACGCCTTCGGCCCCCTCTGAGCACCTGCCGCCAGACCCCGATGATGACGCCACCGAACTGAGTCGTCATTCTCTTCAAACAAGCCATCCTCAGACTCACGAGGACATTACTGGTTCCACATCTTTAAGGAGGGCACCCGTTTTACAGTATTCCATTAGGTTTTAATACGCCAACACAATGGTGAAGAAGCACTTCAAGGTCTTAAGCCCCCATTCCCCTGTAGGGCTGGTCCTCAAGAACAAATGGAGGATGGGCTGGCTGCCTGGCATTCCAGCTGGGGGTCACTCCAGGTGGCAGACCTCCAGGGACTGTCGAGGTCATGACAGGAAGCCTAGTGCACAGACAGACCATCACGCCTTCGACCGCCTCTGGCTGCGGGATGTCCGCTGCTCCCGTACGAAGGTTCCTTGCAGTGCACTTCTTGCTCCTGACTGCCCGTGTGGGCTGACCTTGTGATTCTTGGTAAGAAAGCTCTGGGGTCCGCAGCTATTGCTTTTTTGTCTACTCTGTGATGTTTCCGGCCATGCTTTGCTGCTGGGCAGAACTTGCACTCTCCTCTGGCGGCTGGCAGCAGTGCTTGACATGAAGACCTTTTGATTATAGTATAAGTGCCTGAACTTAAGTCTTTATGGGCCGGGCATCCATTTCAAAAGGCATGCATCTAGAAAAGCTTATTACAGCTATAAGACACAGGTACTAGCAGAACCTCTGGAGAGGAAAGGAAGACACCCCCATCTTCAGAAAGTCCTGGGTAACCTGGATACCTGAGCATTCAGGTGACCCCACTTCTACCTTCCCATGTGCTAACATGCACTCTTAAGCTTTAAATCAGCCAAGACAGAATGAACTCTGACACCCAGCACACTCCACCTTGGGACCTTAATAAAAGCAAAGCTCCAGGGCCTCTCTCCCTTCCTCTCCCCCTCCCAATGACCTACTGTATACCCCTAAAATGTGCTATGTATCCCCGAGATGGGCAGGTAGTAAATTTCTTCCAAGTTCTCTGATGGCTTCTGCAGAAGCTTGTTTCTGCAGCCCTAGCAAGAGCCACAGGGGCTGGCCGAGCACAGGATGCCAGGACTCTCACAGGTTGGGCCAGCAAAGACGATGCTGTCTGCAGCCCTGTGCCGGGGACAATGCCTTCACTGTCCTGTTGCCCAAATTAAAGACAAATGATCCTTTTTTACAGTCATTGTTAGTGCAACTACTTGCTTTGCTGCTTTCTATTGTATTCACTTGTTGAAGCAGTCTCAAAGTTAAAGTCCAAAGTGTGGTACAAAAACCTATTCTCCTGAACTATGTGCAAGCAAACTGGGAAGATGCCGCAACACCCTGGAGGAAGGACTTCCTACAAGGAAATTCTCTTACGTAACCACAGTCCACCCATCAAAATCAGGAAAACACGGACCCGACCCAGACTCCACCGGAGCCTCACTGGTGTCCCAACAACGTCCTGTACAGCAAAAGTCCCGGTTAGCTCTCTTCAGTCTCCTTATAAATAGGACTCTCTTCTCGAGCCTCAGACATTTGAAGACTACAGGTTGGTCATTTTTATAGACTGTCCCTAACTTTAGTTTTGTCTGAGGTTCCCTCATGATGAGATTCAGATTATGGAGTCTGGCTTAACACACTAGTGATGCTGTTTTCGATACACACTGTCAGCGGCACAGTGATTGGTACGATTACTGATGACATTCACTTTGCCCAGCTGCCTGCCTCTGTACTCAGTACGCATGCCAGAAACAACACCCAGTCAATTCTCGTAATTTACATCCCACAAAGTTGCTGTGGGTACCGCATCAATGAATGTTAAAGCATCACTCCTTGGGGAAAAATGAGGTTAGGTTCCTGAGAGTTCCTGCCCACAATATTTTCATGAACTGATCAATACCTCGCCTTAGGTGTTTCTCTTTAAAGACAACCCACGTGTATACAGGTGACTTGTTAACGCGGAACTCACACCAACAGTGCTAAAGCGCATGTGTGTACAAAGCATATGGCCGCGTCCCCAGGAGGCACATCATAGCCTCCATGCACCGGACACGGCAGACTCAGCGCTGTGCTTGGGGCAGTGAAATCACACCCTGAAATCACAACGGAGCACAGAATGTAAAAGCTGTGACACTAAACAGACTGTGAAAAGGACACTCGCCCATTATACTTCCTATACTAATTTATTATATCACATATTACGTACGTAACATGTATCACATGTGAAATATATATGACTTTATTACATTTACTTATCTGTTGATAACCATGAACTGACACCAATATCTCCTAGTCCAAAACACAACAGGATTTATTCTCCTTATAATATTTGTAATCCCCTTTCAGGTAACAAAAAACCTAGCTCCCACGGTTCTCACTGTACCTGCTTACTAGGCCAACTCCTGCAAATAACCCCCAATCTCTGTTGCTGTCTTCCTCCTGCCACCCAGCTGTGACACCCTGTGCCAGGCCGGGCACTGTGGAAAGGCCCGCTTCACCACATCTGGGCCACACACACCAGCCTCTCCACAGAACCCCTGTGCACACGCCCTGGGCCCGTGGCTCCTGTGCTCCCCAGCAAGGCCTGCACCATTCCGCCCCCCCCCCCCAATAACTTTTGGACTGAATTGTTCCAGAAATGCCTGGAAAACAAGGGGAAGGAAAATGCAAACAATTTCAACAGTTCAATTTTCTGTTCAATATCTCCTTAGTATTCTTGGGTGTTTTTTAAATAACAGAGATAATATAGGCAATTTAGATCCTTAAATTGGGCCAATAAGATAAAAAAGTTAAGAAATCGATGTTGTCGCAGAAATCTGTTATAAACGTTCTTTGACCTTTAAGCAAATCCATTTTTTCATATCCTTGGTAATTTCCTCTGGTTGATACTTCTTGCTTTTAGTATTCATCATTTTATGTTATTTGTCAGTTTTCCTGACAGCAACTGACTGTACAAACAGTAGCTAACCAGTGGGACTCGTAATATTGGGATCGGCAGCTCAGGGCAGGGTGGTAGAAATGACCAGCAAATACAGGTCAAAGCACACCTGGAGGACAAGTCCCGATGAGACTGTAAGCTTCCGAAAGGGACACTACCTCCCAGGCCTTCTCAACTCCACCTCCCGACTCCTGAACGAACGGAGAGAGAAACACGAGTGTGATACTAGCAAAGCAGCTCGGCTCTCCTGTCTCATCATTTCTATTCCTCTCCTCTTGATTTACAGAGAGCATTCTAAATATCCCGTTTTTAATTAAAAATAACTCAAAACCCTCGATATGAAATCAGGCTATTCTCCTTAGAAATCATGAACAGATGGCTTAGTGACTGATTCTGAGTAACAGGAAACACGCTACCTCTGCACGCGGTACACTCGCGTCCACGGAGGCACGAGGGCCAGGATCCGAGCCACCAACTCGACTAGGTCGCTGGGAGAGTAACTCTTATATCTCCCTGACTTCCACAGCTCATAAAGTCCAGTTCCGCGAATCACTAAGGTAGGGTAGAGTTTCAGACCATCAGGACGAAAAGCAGGGTTCTCAAAAAATTCCTGTGAAAACAGAACAGAAAATTGTGTATCCATCAGTGATGCAGAGATCACCCAAGGGGAATTTTCCTCCCGGGCCGGTGTGGCTTGTGCGGCTAGATTGCGAAGCCCCCGCAAGGCCGGCCTGTGCGCCGCGGCCATCTCCCCTCCCGCAGCCTCACCACCTTGCCTTTCTGTCTGTGCAAAGGCAATTTCCTCTGCCTGGAAACTTCATCAATTTTTCTTTGTCTAGCTAATCTTCAGGTCTTAGTTTGAAGTCCACTTCTTCAGAGAGGCCTTCCTGACCCTCAAAGATAAATTGCCTCACTTGAAAAAAAAAAAAAAAATCCCACTGATTCCTTTGTTATTGCTTTCTTATCATCACACTGACCATTTATGCAGTGCCTGCTTTCACCTCTCAACGGTATCCCTCCTTGAGTAACAGAATATATTTGCTTAAACTTTAAAAAGTTATGACAGAGATCATCATCCGGCCTGCAAATTGACAATGTTCACTGTAAGGATCTTTGCGGAAAAAGTATGCTGAGCCCTGGGTGAGCCCATTCTGTCCTCCAACCAACTGGTAGCACCTTCCCTAACCCAGGGCCCACGCTCCATTTATTATCTGGACACTAAGTGATAGTCTGATTCATCTACTCTGACACAGTCATTTCCTGTCCTGCATCACCCAGCCGGCTGCCTTATTTCTTCAGAGGGGATGTAGCAGAGAGACACCAGCACTCTCCTTTCCAGAACCCCCGCCTGCTGGGTGACACAGGGACAAAGGTGGACTTGTGCAGTCCCCTACCCCGCCTTGACACTCACATCTGCACGCTCAGCGGTGCTACCTTCTGTGAACTGGAAAGATGCCTGAGCTGGAGCTGCGCTGTTCTTGCAGAGCTTTCCACTGTTGAACTTGCTTTTCAAAACAACGTAATCATAGCTTTTTCGATCTCATTGATTTCTGTCATATTTTTACATAATGTATTGTTTGTGCACCACTGGGGCTTCGGGATATTTTTCTGTAATTCTGTGTAATTTCCCCTCTAACATTTATATATTGAAGATTCACATGCCTTTGAAAAATATTCTACGGCTCACCACACAGTGCATGAATGCAAGTCATTCTTTAGATCCCTGGAATCCACACTGGAACATGGGGCTTCTGCTCGTGCAAAATAAGTTTAGGAGAAATGTGGGCTGACACATTCTTTTGTTAAGAATGGAACTAGATGGAACTGGTTCTGGACTTCTGGTTAAACATGAACAATTTAAGTGTTTATCTTTCCCACCAAGCCCCCATTAAAGTACGAATTTCAAAAACATAAATCCAGAAAAACAAAGAGAACATTAAAGGGCATTCAGGAGCAGTCTAATTTGTAAGAGAGTAAAACACCAACACAGCTAGAAGTTATTCTGGGTAACAAAGTCCTCTCTGAGGCTACCTGGAAAGGATGAAATGAACATTCTCTTATAATAAGGCCTTTCAGCTTTATATAAAAAAAGAAAACTGCATTTCTAAAACAAGTCTGAGTTACTAGAAAATATAATAAGCAAAGTGCTGTTTATCACACACAGCTACAAGCTCTGCACCTATTGCTAGGACAGATGCCAATGAGCAGGGTTACACAGTGACACAGCAGTGATCTAAACCACCAGGTCTGTGCACTAAGCCAATTTACAGTCGGCACACACAGGCACACAGGCCCGAGGTGAGGCTGTAGGCATCTTAGGGCCAGGGAGTGCCCACAGGGACCCCAGCCAGGCCAGCATCCTGCCCCCACCGAGATGTGATTCTGTGATTATACCAGCAGACCTCTGCCTTGGCAGGATTCCTACGGAACAAAAACCAAGAGGGAATATATCTGTGGGCTGCTAATAAGGAATTCTGGGTAGATGTAACAATAAAAAGATATAAAAGTGTGACTTATACTGTCAACAATTCAGAAAAGGCTGTGGATTCCAAATAAGCCCAATTTTCTAAAAAAGCTTTGAAAAGTTCTATATAAACTTTTTATTGAAGTATGTCTTAAATGTGAAGTACACAAACCACAAGTGTACATTTGGACAAATTTACAAATCATGAACCAGCACCCAGGTGCTTAAGTCAAGAAAAAGAACATTATCAACATCTCAGAGGATCAGGTCATGCTTGTTTCCAGTTTTAATTCCACCCAAGTCTCTGAACTTTACACTAACAGAACGACACTAGAGGCAGTATCTGGCTTCTCTGTCTTAACATTAAGCTGAATAGAACCAGCTCTCGCTGTCGCATGAAGCTGGAATTTCTTTATTCTTAGGGCTTTACAGCACTTCCCACGTGACCACACCACGGTTTACTGTGAAGGGACATTTACTGTGAAGGGACACTGAGCTCTTTCTGCTTTGGTGTTACCAGCAGGCATTTGTACACAGGTCCCTTGGTACATATTTGCATGCCTTTCTGCTGGGTAAACATTTCAGATTGAAATGGCTGGCCAGGGGTAACCTTTCTCCAGCTGCGGTGAGGATGGACTGCCTTAATGACGGGAGAGAGCAACAGTGAGCTGGACGGATGCATGTGCACGGGCCTCGGGAGACAGCGCTCACCGTGAACTGCTCGATGTCTCTCTCCAGCCCCACGTTTGGCAGATCTGGCATCATGTGAGCCACGACTTTGAAACCGGAGTCTTTGGCCAGGTGGAAGGACTCGCACACGGCCTTCACGGTGTGGCCCCTAAGGACAGAAAATTCGCTGGGTAGTACATAAAGGGCGATACAGCCAACCCACGGAATAGGGTGTGCTACCTCTGGAACATGTAACAGAAATTCTATAATGAAGAACATGGTTGGGGGAGAAAAACCTCAGTCACTTTGACCTCTCCACCCTCTGAAAACAAATCCTTTTACTTGAGTGTGCTCAGAAGTTCCTTGTGCACCCACTCAAGATGCCGGGTGAAGGATGGGGGAACCACAGCTAACATCTACTACAATGACCCGATTTAGTAGATACAAGCTTACTACTGTAGGTATCTAAGTCAAAAACATGGACATGGGCTCAAAACCATGTAGAAGCAGCAGCTTGATAGGATCTTTCCTTTAAAAAAAACTCTTGAGGTGACTGGGAAAGAGACTGACTTGTAGGCAAAAATGGATTTCCCCTATTGGGCCCGGCAGGTCCTTAGGAAATGAAAAGAGATTATTTGGTGACAAGGCAGAATAACTGGGGGCCAGGCAGCTCAGTCATCTTAGACTGGCACCCTCCAGGGCACAACCCAGCAGGAAGCCAGCCCTTGTAACAGCTGGGGGCACCCAAGCACCGAAGCCATGTGTTACCCCTTCACTAACACTACCATTCACTGCAGAGGGACCCTGGAACTAGGACTCCACCCCATGGTCTCTGGATATTCCTTCATTTCCACGGCTTCAGTCCCTTCTCTTTTTGCTAATGGCTTCCAAATGTGAGTAGACGAGGGCTCTCCTGCATACTACACCCAAATATCTAATAGTTGCAACGTATAATACGGTAGCCAGAAGGCACACGGAGATACTGAAGTTTGTATTTAAAATAATTAAAATAAATTCAGTTCCTCAGCTGCACTGCTGTCTTGGACAGTGCAGGGGTACAAACATATCGGTTATTGCAGAATGTTCCACAGGGTGATGGAAAAGCAAGCTAGAGGAGTGGCAAAAAAGGATGAGCATGGATGTAGCTATTTCTGGGGTGGGGGAGAAGGCAGCTTATGCAAAGTCATTTGCTGACATCTTACCTGTTGGTATCTCTGGCCACGTCTTCGTAGACACTCTGCACCCCAATCTCCAGTCTGGTGCAACCATAGGTCAACATGTCACTTAAATGCCGCTTCATACAATAATCTGGCCTGGTCTCAATAGTGATTCCAATGCACTTTGTGAGGCTTCTCTCAGAATACCTGCAGAGCAAACCTGAAAGTAAACAACTACCACAGATGCAGGCTATTTGCTGCCATCAGAGGGACTGTGCTCTTAGTTCTCCCAATGTAGAGAGAGCTCAGAGCACGGGCTCTGGGGCTAGGCTGAGTGAGTTCAGACCCTGGCATTCTACTTCCTAGCTCTGCAATCAGGAGCATCATTAGCCTCACCAGGCTTTGGTCTCTTAGATGCCAAATGAGGGTAACAGTGCCTGCACCTCCTGGAACTGGGGTGACTGCACCAGCACACAGCGACCGTCATTTTCATTATTATTCCCCCCACATGCTACAATCATCGACTCCTTGAAAGCAATGATTTCAATTGTGAGCTTTCAATTTTTCAATTCCTAGCAATTGTCCACATAAGTGAAAACCAGGCATTATTTATTTTCTACTCCATATTTTAGATTCATGTTAAATAAAAAGAGGGGAGACAGTATGTCTCTGAATTATAACAATAATTAAAAGAAAGGTCTTTTATATACACAGAAGTCTTTCTGTGAAGCCTATCAATCTTAGCAATGATTTACAAAATTAGAAGTTATTTTTCTCTCACAAAAACAAGATCTTGGAGTAGTGAATGCTATTTTAGTTTCAAAGCTGTTTGAATTAATGACCTTAATGGTCAAAAAGCCAGAGTCAAAATCATTTGCTAAGGAGGCTACTGATGTGAGGGGAGGGGAACTGTATCCAGAGGCCCCTGAGGGGCAGGCACAGCACTGGGCGTGCTCCAGACAGGGAGCGATGCCACGAACGTGTCTGGTTATCTCTGTTTTACAGATGAAGACAGTGAAATTCAAAGACATTGAATACTTTGTCCAAGGGTCCAGAACTCATAAAATCCAAGCTGGCCTGTCTGACTGCGAAGTCCTTGCTCTGTATTTTATCACAACTCCTTAGACAATTCAGCAAGGGACGTCAGCTTTCCCTCCTTTTCAATGCCCCTAATGTCCTAGAGGTCAAGAATTGTCAGTACACCCTTTCCACAATTTTCTATTCACATGAGGGAAGCCCTTTATGACCACTTAGCTTCTTTTCAAAGAAGTTTATAGGTCTTTCTTGCAAAGTAAAAATCACAAAATTTCCATATTTTTTTTTAACTACTCCTTTAGGTTCATACCTTCATTAATTATCAATAAAGTCTGAATTATTTAATGTTAATAATAACAAAAATAAGACCGTAAGGAATCACTGACTTAGAGAACTAATTTTGAAGTCTTTCATTTCAGACATTCAAACTCTTTTGCACTACTACTGCCTCCCCTGCCTTGCAGAGGAAGTCGTACTCCCACGGGATCACCCCCACAGTGCTAGCCCCACAGGGTAGTGGCAGTGATTACACAGCCACCAAAACTAAAGGGAAACAACTGGTCCAAAGTTACTCAAAGATGAATCATAAACCAGGGGGAAGAAGGGCTCCGATCTTGTCAAATCTTGCCAAAGATAGTAAATCTCTTGGCTGCTCTGAAACAATCAAATCATAAAGTCCCACATCTGCTCAATCAGGCAGATACCAAGACACATGGGGCAGAAGTACATGACGTCACAAGGACATGACATATACTTGACCTCTGAACGTCAATTACTGAATCTGAGGAAAACAGCTTTTCATACTAAGCGCATATATTATGGAGAAAGCATAAGGTTGATTAAATATCCCAAAAAGGAGAACTGTAAATAAGTATATTTAACAAAGTAAATGAGAACATCTTAAGACTAAGGCATTCTGAAGTCACATTGTAAATTTCCCTTTTAATGGGTATTTATTAAAAGCCTACAGCATTTCTTAAAAGATGAGCTAACTCATCAGCAGAACTGCAGCATGCATCTCTGGGAAACACACAGGGGGCAGGCAGCTGCGTACACGGGAGTCCACCTGGAGGAGAGAGACCTTTGCTGTGGTCCTTCCGCTGCACGGGGCATCCAAGGCCCAAGGCAGGGAGGCGAGTTGCTGCAAACATGCCGAGGCCTCCCCTATGTGCCCGGAAGAGGCAGGACACAGGGCAAGTCAATAATTTTCAAACAGCAATTTAACTCCATTCCAAAAACAGCTCCGCCAGGGACAGGAGTTCCATTAGCTTTTACAGGAGTAGAAATGGAGGCATAAAAAAATTCAAGTTTTTGAAATTAAATATTTTACATTTACATGAAAGACTTTCACCACTCTGCTTTTCAGAATTGTCACTTTTTAAAATTGAGTTAACACTGGTTTATATCATTATTTGTGTTTTAGAAATATATGCTCTCCCCCGTTCAGGGGTGCCCAAATATGGAGATGTATTTTCATCCGAAATGCAATTAAGCAGAAATTCTTATGAAATTTGAATGACCAAAACCAGACAGCACTTCCCTAAAGAACAGCCTGTGAGCTCCGCTTTCCTGTGAGACACCACACTGTCAGGGCTTTCTGGTAATGTCGTGTTTAGTCTTACCTGGCCCTGAAAGACCCTCTTTGAACAGAGGCACCTGCAGGACTGCTCTTCAGCACGCGAATGTGGACATCCAGGCTTCCTACTGATCTAGGAAACTACTTGCGCTGCCTTGTATGGCCTGTCATCAGCCCGGCTAACAGAGCCGCCCAATGACACTTCACACTAGGGCCCAGTCTACTCCTGAGCTTTCCCAGGCTGCAGACTGAAGTCCGTGGGCATCTAGGAACTAGACCATTTTCCAACTGTGATGGCAGGTTTCTAAGAGACACAATCAGGACTTGAACCTGGGTCTTCTGAATCCAATTCCACTGCTCTTTTTTGTGGTATCACGGGGTCATTTTAAATAAGCTTGTACAGCCCACCCATGTGGGGCTCTGTGGAATCCTACACTTTCTGGTAAGCCACAGAAGTAGGGCCGACTATAAAAGATGCTAATGTTCCCTCCAAATCATAATTTAAGCCAATAACTTTAGTTAAGAGCAATTTTTATAATGGGGAGGGAAGGATGGGACAATGATCTGAGAATTTAAAAGGAAACAAAAACCAAACGCTACCCAGCCTTCAAAACTTAGCTTGACAGCATTTCTCTTCGTGTACTATCAGCCCAGCGCCTCTTAATAAGAACTATGTGCTCCATCCCCAAAGCATCTCGCCCATACAAATGCAACCTGCCTTGGAACGTATGGCTACATCTGTCCATCAGACCAGGAGATCCTGGGAGGCAGAAAGCTGGAAAATGCTTAGAGGTGATTGTTTAAGGGCTTTAGCACAAAAAGAGCACAACATAAAAAAAAAAAAAGGATGAATAAATGAATTGGGCATAACTGGGGACACAGGAATCGCTCTTCACTCTCAGAGCAGCCTCTAGGTAGTTCTACCAGTTATCTTTCCCTGGTAAGCCCTAAGGTGTCCAGCCCTAGCCAGATACTCCACAGAGAATAAAACAAAACAAAATAAAGCAAAACAAAATAAAACAATAGCTCTTGGGCTTCCCCTAGTGGCGCAGCGGTTGAGCTCTGGGTTGAGAGGCTGCCCACAGCCTCTGCAGCGCCAGTTCAATCCCCAGCCACCGGCGAGGGTCCCACAAAAAAAAAAAAAAAAAAAAAAAAAAAAAAAACAATAGCTCTTGTCTCAGAGACCCTTAACAATGAAGCTGCAGGGATAAGTCACACAGATAAAACTAAGAACCACTTAAAAATAAAGAGCTAGAAGTGGGGGAAATGAAATGCATCAGATTATTTCTTGGGAAGGATGTTTCTATTTCTGGAAGAAAGTGATCTACAAAAGTGGATCTATAATCACTTCCTGTCTCCCGGCACTGAGGGCTGTGCTCGTGGGACAGAAGATGGCAGCAGATGCTCAAGTCTCTTTATTATCGCCTGGAAACTGTTTTCTGACTCACTCCAGGAAAGCTGTGGCCTCTAAGAACACTGCTCAGGACTATCAAATCCTCCGCAGTCCTCTGTAAGAATCTCTGTGGTTAACAGAATTGGAGGGCTTGAGTCTAGCTCTGTGTGGACTCTCACACGTGCTCTAGGATCCACGGCCTGAAATAGGAAACTTTCAGGTCCTCAACCTCAGACTCAGCTCCTCTCACCAAATTGGTAAGTAATAATGATGAAATGTTAATTTAATTTCCATTACTCACAAAGTACAAAATCTTTTCTGCCTCCTTCAGTCCCAAAATCTGGACCAAGATTTATCTGAATTGTCCAATAACATCTGGATTTTGGTGTCAATCCTAAGGACACCAAATGCAGAACGCACATACGTGCGCAGGTGTACATTCTCTACTATCATCAGGTTTGGAAACACCTCACTAAAGTTTCCTGCCTGCACATAAATGCCATGCCAGCCACAGTCCTTACTAAGAAATAATGAATTGGTTATTTGGGGTGCTTTTTTGGGAAATGTTCATTAAGTTTGCCTCCTGGATATTGATAGTTATGTCAAGACAGTCTCGGAAATAGGGTTCTGCCCGACACAACTGAAGAGAGGCACAGATTTTGATTTTTAAATGAGCACAACCCTGAAAAATGAGCCAGATGACACTGCAGCTAGGAGGTCAAGCAGGACTCTTGCTCCCTATCCTGCTCATCAACAAGGTTTAAAATATACAAAACCCACCATAATACTTTGGGTTTTGATTCTTCCAATTGCTGAGAAGAAGTCTGCCATTTTATATTTCTAACCAGAGAGCTGATGAATCAACAAAACACACTGATAATAGAAAATATGTCATTCTCAGAAAGTAACTGCTGGTTTTTTTTTTATGTTTAAGAACTTGCAAACATTATTTTTCTGGTAAAAATTCTCATTCCAATAGAATTCAAATTGTACAATATCAGAGAAAATAAGTTTTTTTTAATAATCTATTCTCACCTGTCATGATGAGGACACTAAAGCACAAACCCGATAAGGATGCAAGGTAATACCAGAAGTAAGTCCGGAAACCTAACTCTCCTGATGCTTAACGCACAGTTCTTCCCAAAGTACTCAAGTAACATTTACTAAGAACTGTCCATCCTTGAGGCCCCATGCTAGAAATTA